CAGCACTTCCCTATGTCTTAGAAGATAAAAATGAAGAGACACATAAGCCATATCTGTGACCCAGGGCACACTTACTCTATAGACACTGTCACGCAGTAGAAGAGCACAGGCCAAGAAGAGTCAGGTATCATTTGAATTCTGACTCTGCCATTTATTTATTGGCTTTGAGTCAGTCCTCAGGTAAGGCAGTGCCTACAGTTTTCTCACTTGTTCAGTGGAGAAAGTAATGCCCACCCTCCAAGCTCAGATAGTCGTTACAAATATTTAAATCAAAATATAATGATGTGTTTCTTTTTTAACAGTTGATCCCAACTATAACATCATGGAGGGTTTTGATTTTGGTGGCAGCCCTCATCCAATTCTGTGTGGCTTTCTTTGTAGAGGTAAAGTAATTTCTGTATGGCTCTACTTTTTCTGAGGAGATAAATAAAGGATCTCATTCTCAACAGATGCTTATTTTTTAGAGCAACCACTTGGGGAACCCAAAATGATAATTATTAAGGGTTTGTAAAAACTACACATGTTCTCATTGGGGGGACTTCCTTTGAGAATGATTTAAAATTTTTTGAAGCCTGCATGGAAATGCTCCTGGTTTCTTTTACATAGAAAGTAAAACATCAAATTAACTTTAATTTTGCCTCACACGAAAGTGTTTTACTTGTCTAATGTTCTCAATAATCTAGGAAAGGTGAGACCAGGTGACCTCCCAGCTCTAGAATTCAATGAGACCTTTTAGAGTAAAGAGCTGTCTTCAGGATGGCTTCCCTGATTAAGGGACAAGGAAAGCCACTGGTCATTCTTATCAATTTCTACACTTGAAAGTCTTCCCCTGTAGCATGTCTCTTTTACTTGATGTCAGTAAGTGACTTTATCCACTCAGTAAAAGGCTTGGGTGCTTTTTTCTAAACTGCTTTAAAAAAAAAAAAATTCATGTAATGTCTCTTGGGAAAAGGGAGCGACCAAAAGTTTTTAAATACACGGACAAATATTGCATACCATAAGCATAAAATTTCTCACACTCTTTAATTCAGGAATTCCATTTTTGACACTATATTTTTTAAAAATAACGCAAAAGGAGAGAGAAAAAAACCCTACATGTATGAAGATATTCATTATAGTATTATCTATAGTGGCAAAATATAAGACTTAGAGATGCTATTTATTTAGTTATACAGCAATTTGAAGAAATGCCATATAGTCATTAAAAATGATTATTAGGAAGACTATAGTTGTGTTCTTACCATAATAAAATAAAATATTAAAGACTGTAGCTACAAAAAAATTGTGTATGGCAAGGTAGTATAAACAAAAGTGGAATGCAAAATTTGACCAATTATATCGTGTGTAAAAATTGTGTAAGCATGTGAACAAAATAAAAAGAGAACTCGAAAAAATGGGGGAAAAATCCCCCTGATTTCTAGGGTTCATGTTCATTCAACAAACTTTTTTTGGCATCTTCTATGTGGCAGGTGGCAAGTAGAAGCACTAATGTTTTTTTTTTTCTTTTCTTAATTTTGAATAAATTATCATTGTTATCATTTCAGTCAGGCAGGAAAATAATTTGAAGTGAATCATGAGCCAGGATTTAACTAGGAAATCTGTAGAAATGAAAGGCTGTAAGGTTTTGGCAAATTTCTGTGGACACAAGCAACCTCCTGCTTCTAAGGAAAGAATTAGGGGACTTTTGGGAGAAGTGGCTGCAGAAGCGGCAGCAATGGCCTGTGTCAGGGGTGGGCCTGGGGAGGCAGCCATGGTGCTGTGACCTGGCCACGGGGGGAAGTGCATGACAGTTTGATTGTTTTTCCCACCTGATTTTCCAGGACGCCATCCTTCAAAATCAAAAGCTATGGCTGTTCATCAAGAAAAAATTTGGTTTCTTCTCTAAAAGTCAATATAGGAACTGGCAAAAAAAGCTGGCAGAAGACTCAACCTGGCCTCCCACAAACACGACAGATTATTCAGGTGATGGCAGAAATGTATTCTACATCAACAGGGGCTATGAGAGCCATGAACAGATTCCAAAAGAAAAACTCGAACTGGGAAGCCAGACCACAGAACAGCATTTTTGGACCAGACTGTGATCGGGACTTTTGTCGTACATGCTTAACAGCATCACCTTTTTTCCCCAAAACTAAAACATCGTGGAGCAGTGATGATTGTCTCCACTTATCTCTTTTCTCCCCATCTGAGAATTCAAAGCTCACTTCTCACTGCATTGAGCTTTGCAACGAAGGACCTTAAATGTGCTTATTTTGACTGTATCCTTTACCATGGGGAGAAAAAAATGCACTTCCTGAATTATCACTTTTAATGAACTTTATATTCATATTGCATAGCATTATCCTGTTTAAAAAGCACAGCTTTAATGGTAGTGAAATTAGTAGCATAAACATCAATAGAAGAAAGGAAAATTGAGGAAACTTTTGGCCTCTGAAAGTTTTACCAAAATATTGTCACAAGCTTAATTAAGTCATATTCATTTGTGAAGAACATTTATGTACATATCTTTTGTTCAAGGTCACAAATTCCCCTTTTTTCTTCTTTTGAATGGTTTTAATAAATAAGAATTGAAATTTACTTCAGAAAAGTCAATTCTAACTATGGTAAGCCAGAGTTGTGAAGTGGAGAACGATGGGGATTTTGTTAATTGCATATAATCTTGGCATGGGCTAATATCTAAGCAAACTCCACCAAAGTTTGGCATCTCCCAAAGTATATTGTTTTGGGACCAGTGAGCTAGAAGGTCTAGAATAGGTAGTGAAATAAACTGTTAAAATGTGCCTTTCACTTAAAGAAGCAGGACACCATAATTTACTTTTTATTACTGACACATGAAAACCTCAAGTTCAAACTCTAAAAGCTCAACATTGCTCATCTTAAAAAACAATCCTGGGGAAGAGACCCATAATGTTTGTATCATAATGTAACAATTCTCAGGCTACTAAACAACCTTAAGTTCTAATTCATCTTTTAATTATCTAAATCATCTTATTAGGTGCACTTTAAAGACCACAAGAAAAGATACATTCTTTACACGTATAGTCTGCATACTGTTCCTTTTATAAGTTCACCATTATTGTGAACATGAGAGTAAATTTATTCCTGGTGAACATTTGAAATTACCTACTAGGCTTTCCTTATAATAAATCTAATTTTGCTAAATTAGATCTTTAAGAGATCACAGGCGATTAGTTAACCACTCCCATCCCATGAGTGCCAATTAGGTGCCTAACACAGTTATGTATGGATTCAATAAAGACAGCCTTGAGATTACAATTCTGAAATCTTTAGGGTTGACAAATATTTTCAACTTCTTAGCAATTTGCTTCTGTAAATAGCATTGTAAACTTTGTTACACAAACTAGAAGCATAAATGCAAATTCCTATAAAAATAAACTCTCTGTGTTTACATTTTGTTTGCTTTTTACCTTTTCCTTGTGTTCACAGCTCTTTGGAGAGTCATAATTTTCAAAATGTGTCTAATTTAGTGGCTACCCCAATAACATGATAAAAAGATAAAAGAGATTTTTAGCTATGGTTAAGAAATGTCAACTTAAAAATATGGTAGCTCAGGTATTTAATAATTTGACTCAGAATGAAAAGATTCAATTGATGTACTATGACATTTAGATAGCATTAAAAAGTTTTTGTTTTTTTAAAAAATCCTGATTCAATGAATGTACAGGCATTTTTCCCCCTACATTTTCCAACAACCTATTAGGTACCTGGTGGATGATGATCTTTATTTCACACCTTTCTTTTTGGTGTTAGAACATGTTAGAGTTGAACTTCACATTTACTGCTAAAAATATGCTCAGAGAAAGGTTTAATAGCCTGAGGAAAAAACCTCTGCTAAAAGCACAATGAGCGTGAGCACATATCAAACAACCACCTATAGGAAAAACAAAACTGGGAAGTTGTAAGCGGCCCGTCAAGAGAGGCCAGTTTTATGGGAAACTGATGACTGACTGTGAGCTTACCTCTAAGGGTGAAAATGACTCAACTGCAGCCTTGAACACTACCAATGCAAAAATGGATCCGTGAATTTAACTTAAAAGAGCATTTGTGACATTATCCAGCACAGCTAAGAATGTCTTCTGGTGTAGAAAGGTCCAGCATCCTCAGGAGATTCTTGGGCCCAAATTCTGCTCCCTCTCCCACTGCCAGTGTTGTAATCCTACCACACCAATGTGTCCTGCTCTAGGTTAAGCTTTGCTCTCCATAGGCATCCCTTATTGAAAAGTAAGCACATCTTGGGAAAGGTAATCCATTAGGCTGCTGCTAGTCTCACCTAAATCTGACAATATTAGAAAACTGCTCATTTTTCTTGACTATTACTTGGGAGCAGGGCATAAAAGGAACAGGGACCTGAATTCAGAATAAAAATGAAGGGGTAATTTTGGATCTTGGCAGGAGACACTCACATCTCTTTAGAAGACCAGTGGAGAAAGACAGAGTTTGGGGGTTATCTGGAGACAGAGTTGGTGCCATAAGAAAGGGAAGGAATTAGTTTGGGGAAAAGGAGGCCTTGACTGCTGCAGCACACAAGCCCTCCTATTATTCTTAAAACTGCAATTAGCTTGCAGAGTATTTGTGGCCAAGGGATAAACTGTATACCAGTTAAATAGGTCCAAGACTTTCCCTGAGTCTTCTGTTTAGTTACTTTACCATATTCCTAGTTCCCTAAATGCCCCCAGCCCCAATATTTACTTGAACTTTTCCTTTATGCCATATTTTTTATGGTGGCACAAGAAGGATACCATTGGCTGGTGGTGTGGTTCATGGAGTAATGCTAGGGTACAGAGACCTACACCCCAACTTTCCCCACCTGCTGCCACCAAGAATTCCACTGGAACAGTTTAAAAACCAGTTTGTTTAATTCACTGAGGGGCTGGCTGGTTAGCCCCGCTGGTCAAAGCATGGTGCTAATAATACCAAGGTCCAGGTTTCAATCCCTATATCAGCCAGTCAACAAAAATAAATAATTCACCTGCATTTTATTGACATTTTCATTCTTGCCTTTTATTGACATAATCAATAAAATGAAGAATAAAATCATGACACTCGTTGATTATAGCAACAGTGTTAAAAAAGTAATATGGGATTTTTTTTTCTAAATATGGCACTTTAAACCAACACTTGCCAAGGTTAAAAGGTCAAACCACTGAACTATTTCAAAATTCAAAGGGAATACTGTAACTGTAGAAATAGCAGCCCACTCTTATATGTCACATACTTCAGACAGGCGAGTAGATTCCAGGGAAATCACTGGGTCTGGAACTCTGGAGCAAAGAGCCCACCCCCCATCTACAGGTGCAGGAAGATGGAGGTGCACCCACAAATGGCTTGTAAATCAGAGTTCCTCAACCTGCCTAGCCAAATTCTGAAGTTCTCAGTTTCTTTTCTGACAAGAAAAGGAATATGAATTTAGATGTCAACTCTAACAATTTGGAGCTCTTAACATTTTTTTTCAAAACCATATATAAATGGTTCTTCATCCCTCTGGCAAAATAGCCACTCTCAGGGAAAGAGAAAACAGTATTTATAGTAGGAGATAAAATGTGATGTGATTTTATGATCCTCTCCTGGCTCACTCAAAAGCCTTGTTCTTCTTGTGCAAGCTGCCACGGCAAATCTATGCTAGTAGGGAAGAAATTTCCTTTGCTCAATGATAAGATAATATCAGTAAGCAATTTATTAAAGAGTCTGCCATCCATCATTGAAATCTGGAACAATAATGATGCATTGAAAATAAGTATTCAGCCCAGGTATTTTTTTCCTCCTCACCAATTCTTTCAATTCCAATATCTCTTCAGTAAATTGTTAACAGTATTTTGCTCTTTGTCTATTTGGAAACAAGCCCAGGAATGAGAAGGCGGCGGCAGCAGCTGTCACAAACCCAATGGTACTTATTGCTCGGTTGCTCTATAAGGAAACAAGAAACAAACAAAAAACACATCTTACTCTAAAGGCATCTCTGTGTCCTAATCAAAGCTTTGGCTTGTTTCCTAAGTGAAAGACCTGTTTTAATGTGCAATCAGTACACTGAAAGTTCAATGCAGAAGAGAGGTGATCAAATGTCCACATCACAAAAAAATGATTAAGTTTTGCAATGATGAATATGCTAACTACCCTGACTTGATCATCATACATAGTATACATGCATTGAAATATAACCTCATACCCTACAAATATGTACAATCAATGAAAAATAAAGTTCAATGCAAAATTAAAATACTATATACAAACAAATAAATAAATTGATAATTTTTATAATTATGCCAAAGATATAGAGAGATACACATAGGTATGTATTCCTCATATTCTTCATGTACCTGACAGTTTATAAACTCATTATGAACACAGTTTCTGTTAACCATCAAAGTATTATAGTGAGAAAGGTAGCACTACTCCTAATATGCAAAACATGGATGTTGTAAGTGATTTGTCTGAGGTCATACCACCAAGACGTTCAGAAGACAGGTTGAGTCTTCTGAAACCCATATTCTCCCCCTACATGGCCTTTACCCCATAAACATACTTTGGTTTGGCTGGATCTATACCAGGGTGAGTATCATGTGTACATGTGTGTGCGTGTGTGTATATGTGTTTCTCTGACTAATAGATAACTATTTGAAAAAGAATTCAGGGATTTAGTCTCGGCTAAATACCTCATAAACTCTTATTTAGTAGACACATTTTCTATTCTGGTAAACAGACTTCAAGAAAAGTCAATACTAATGTTAACTACTGTGTCAAAAATTAATTTCTTGTGTAGACAAAATAACTGCTCTCAAGTTCAGTTGTCCACATAGGAGTTCAGCTATTTATAGCTTTTGGGTGTTAATCATCATGATGAGAGATCTAATGAATATTCATGGTTTTCATGGTCATCAACTAATATTGTCTTCCATCCACATGGGTTTGAGTGCAATTTTATGACCCAAAGGTCACAATCAGACACTTCAGAATCATCAGGTATTCTGAAAACATCATTTGTTCTCTGGGATTTAAGAATTAGGGCTTTCAAATAAGGCAAAACATTTTTCCCAGATGACTCTGGGGACCCATCCAACAGCTGGAAAGCCTGACCCAGCTCATTTCTGAGTACGTCCTCTGTCTGGCCCGCAGGCTTCCACCACTGCCTGCCTCCACTTGTTACTGCAACACAGTGCCACCTCCCTAACTGCAGCTTCCCTGTAAGAGCCAGGGCCAGGAAAGAGGCACGTGATAGGAGTATTCACTCCACATATTTGCAGCATTTATTCACTCCACTACACCATTCTGTGATCCACAGGGACAAGGCCTGTAATTGTAACCTCCTGCCTCTTCTCCAACCCTCAGCTGCCAGAGAGAATGGAACTTGGCCCCAGGCCTACCAAATCCTATTGTAGTTTACAATTTTAATTTTATTTGGTTGGTTATTTATATTTACATCATTTATAATGTTTAGTTAATCACTACCTAAATTATTTCACAGGAGATAATCAGAATTCACTGCAGCACAGAGATACCCATATAGCATATGGAAAAAGAAAGAGGCAGGGAGATGCAATTATAGGACAAAATTCCAAAGAAAAGGCAGAGTCAATAATTAGACAGGGATCAAGCATTATAAATCAAGCTCAGTCCTAGTACAATTCCAGGCAGATGTTGAGGTCCCAAGAAGGTTTGATATAGGGAAATGGGGCAGGGAATGAAGAAATATGAAGGTAAAATCAGTGTCTTTAAACAGAGGTGTCAAATGACAACAGGTTACAGTCTGGAAAAATGGCAGGATCGTGTGCATAGGGTGGTACCAGCTAGATGCAGGCCACGCTGACTAGGTATCTTTCTGCCAGTAGAAACACACAATGTTAGAAAAATCTCATAAGTCTAAGAGGCCTGGGGAAGGGATGGGAAACCTGATTTTAAACTAAAATCCCCTGAGATTACACAGGCCAGATACCATCATAATAAAGCTACTTCCAGCAGTACGTGCAATTTCCCACATCCCAAATGTGCGTTTATTTCAAGTCTCATCCTAGATAACAAAATCCCATGTAATTGGGACAATCTCTTGGAGTTATGTGTAATGGGATCTGACCTGCAAGATTATAGCATGTTCTTGGTGAACTGGCACACACAGGAGCTTTTACTTCATGGCTTACTTAGGATTGAAAAATCACCAAATCCGACTCTGCACACTTTATCCTTTACAGGGCTTTCTGTCTGTGGGCTGTAATAAAGGCCTCATCCTGAGGATCAGTAAATGCCCAATGAAACATTAGCTGAATCTGGAGCAGCCATGTCCAGACATCAATGTGGCGGGTCACAGATGACTGCAGGGTTTATCATAATGTCTCTTTCCTGAGAGTCTAAGGCTGCAGGGGCATGCACCGAAGCATGGTCAGGATGTGTTCATGTGTCGTCTTGTCCATCTTGTACAAAGATAGACACGTTTTAATAACTTGTTTGGACTATAACAGTAAAAACTACTGTTTTTAAAAATTTTGAAAAATACACCATGGACTGGGAGAAAACTCTGGCAAAAGATATATCTGATCAAGGACTGTTATCCAAAATATATAAAGAACTCTCAAAGCTCAACAACAGGAAAATTAACAACTCATTTAAACAATAAGCAAAAGATATCAATAGACACATCACCAAAGATGATATGCAGATGGCAAATAAGCACATGAAAAGATACTCAACATCGTATGTAATTAGGCAATTGCAAATTAAAACAACAAGATACTACTACATGCCCATTAGCATGGCTAAAATCCAAAATATTGACAATATCAAACACCAGAGAGGATGTGGAGCAAGAGAAACTTTCACTTATTACTGGTGGGAATACAAAATGGGAATACAGCCACTTTGGAAGACAGTTTGGCAGTTTCTTACAAAATGAAATAGACTCTAACCATATGATCCAGCAATTATACCCCTTGGAATTTACTCAAAGGAGTTGAAAATTTATGTCCACACAAAACCTGCACATGGATGTTTATAACAGCTTTATTCCTAATGGCCAAAACTTGGAAGCAACTAAGATGTCCTTCAACAAGTGAATGAATAAATGAACTGTGATAGATTGATAACAATGAAATACTATTCAGTGCTAAAAAGAAATTAGCTATCAAGCCACAAAAGTACATGGAGAAACCTTAAATGCATATTACTAAGGGAAAAGAAGCTAATCTGAAAAAGCTACACACCATATGATTCCAACTATATGACATTCTGGAAAAGGCAAAAGTATGGCAACAATGAAGAAGAAATTAATGGTTTTCAAGAGTCTGGGGGGAGGGAAGGATAAACAGGAGGAGCAGAGAGGAATTTTCAGACAGGGAAACTACCCTGTATGATTCAATGGTGGATACATGTCACTATAAATTTGTCTAAGCACATAAAGTGTACAACACAAAGAGTGGACCCTCATGTAAACCATGAACTTTGGCTGATGATGTGTGAATGTTGGTTTATCAGTTTTAACCAATGTACCACACTGTGAGAGATATTGATGGTGGAGGAGGATATATGTGTGTGGGGAGGAGAAGAAATTCCCTGTACTTTCAGCTCAATTTTGTTGTGGATCTAAAAACTGCTCTAAAAAATTAAGTATATTAATTCTTTTAAAAATACATAAAAGCACAAAGAAGAAAAACAAAGATGAGGCCACAATCCTTCCACGCTTCTAATCTTTTCTATGAATTATAATTTTTTTTAATTTTATTTACTTATTTTTTTATTTTGTCAATATACAATGTAGTTAGTTATTGTGTCCCATCACCAAAACCTCCCTCCCTCCTCCCTCTCCCCCCTCCCACCCAGATGTGTCCCCTCCATTTTCTCGTTGTAAGAGCTTCAAAAAAAAAAAAAGTTGAGGTTGTTAAATCTTCCTCTCCCCCCCCCCCCCCTCTTTTTTTTTTTTTTTTTTTTTTTTTTTTTTTTTTTTTTTTTTTTTTT